CTCCTTACATCAGCCTTTCAGTCCGTTCCCTTCCTAACAAAATCCATTCTAGACTTAGCAACTTTTTCTTCCTGCTGCAGGTAGGCTTCTAGCAGAAACTGTTCATACTAATGGACCAGCAGCCTTGCTCTCTGCTACAATTGTACTTGGTAAGGTTGCTCTTGACCACCTTCCTTATCACAAAGTCCAATGAATGGTTTCAGACTTTACCTTGCTTGACCCGTTCAGGAGCATGTGACACTATGATTGCTTTTGATTGCTACAAGACTTTCTTTGGCCTCTGTATTAGCACGTGTTCCTCATTTTTTTTTTTTTTTTACATGTCTGCTTTTTTACTTGCAAGTTTCTCTTTTCATTTTATACCTTCAGTGTATTGGCGTTCCTCCAGATGGGTCCTAGTCTCGGCCTTGAGGCTTTTTCCTCCTAAACTTTTCTGGAGCAGTCTGAGCTCCATGTTTGGCATTACCTTATGTAATCAAATACTAAACAGAGCCTCCTCTGCCCCCAGTAATCCTTCAGAAAAGACAGAGTGACTTATATTTACCTTTAAAACATCTTTCATATTAGTGGATGCTTTCAATTATTTTAAACAATAACATGCTTCTGGGATGGGGGAATATATGTCAGTGTGAAGTGGTCAAAGGCTCATATTCAGAACTCAAATAGAAGCCACTTAACGGACCTGGTAAGAAAGGAAATCTACCAGATGTATAAAAATTACTTCTAGGAAAATACCCTCATCTTCCTAAGTATTAGATGTCCCTGTCAATAAGTCTTTTAAAGTCACTACAAAAAGTCATGTGATTACAGAATGAATATGTGTGATTAGATACCTGTGATTTCTGATAGAGTCCCCAGTGCCACTAACATAAAAAGCCAAAACATTATGTAGAAGTAAAGATGATGTGTCTTGGAAAACTACATCAGAGACTTAAAGTGTGATATTGGTAATCACAGAGAAGTGCTGAGTATCAGTAAATTTGCTTTTAAAAACTATATTTTCATAATACTGTATATATATGGTATAAAATAAAATTAATACATTAAATAAATAAATATTATAAGTTAACTATTTCACCTGCACTTCTAACTTAAATATTCAGGTTCACCACCACTTTATTAAGAGAAGTGGATTGTAATTGAAAAAATGAAGATTAACTTTATACTTTGTCATATGTGGTACATCTGATTGACTCCTCTCTCTAACCCTCACTTACTGCTGAACTCCAGATCCATATAACTAACAGTTTGCTGACATTTCTACCAGGATGTCCAATAGGTACTTTAAATTCAACTTGTCTGGAGTTCAACTCAGCCTCTCACTCATCTACTCCTCCTGGCTCCATCAATGAACACCACCACCATCACTTTGTTGCCCAAACTGATAGCTGAATCACCCATATCTCTTTTTCCTATATAATCCTGCTGTTTTTCTCTATCTTCTAAATCCTTATCTCTTCTTTTCTTTTAATACACTCAACTCCAAGCTATCATCATTTCCTCCTGATGTCTGTAACAAAATCTGAACTGTTATTGTTTGGGATTTGGGAGGCATCATGATTTTTCTAAATGCAAATCTATGATTAAATCCCATTGCAGGAATAGCTAACAGGGACAGTTAGAAACCAACTCTTGTCTCCAATTCCCCATCTACCAATACCTACCTTCCTAATTAACTTAGATGCTTTTACTATGTTTTCTTTTCATACTCGTCTTTTTTTTTGTACTGGGGATCAAACTCACGACCTTGTACTTGCCATGCAGGCTCTTGTGCCACTAAGCTAAATCCCCAGCCTCCTTATCTTTCCTTACCATAGCAGGATTCACACTTTGGTATAATTGTTTATTTTTTCTGCTAGACTGGGGACGGGTCAGTCTGCCTCATTGCTGTGTCCCTTTAATCTGAGGGACCTAGGATAGGTTGAAGGATACTGCAGGCAAGAACAGAGACAATGAGAGTGTTTTCTAAATAGTAAATGAATGGACTAATGATTTTGTTATCCCAGCATCCAGCACCTAGTTGGTAAAAACATTTCTTCAATAATATTTATTAATAGATTGTTACTGAACTAAAGATGTACAATTAAGCAACATATGAGAAGCAAAATTAATCCTGTGTAGGTTTTGTCCTTAAGGAGCACAGATTCTTCTTAATTAGGCTTAATCAAAAATGGCTTTCTAGAACAGGTGGCTTTTGCAAGTGAAAGGGAGAGAAAAATAATTCTTACCTAGTAAAATGTAAAGGGCAAATGTAAAAATACCTGTTTGTACAGAAGTAAATCATGTTCTTAAGATGTAACTTTTGGTTGAAATCTGCCATAACAAGCAAGCATTCTATCCTGCAATCTACTGGTCACTGGCTAGCTCTCTTCTTCTGGATACATGCATTGAGCCAGGGAGTCAGGCAGAATCTCATTACCGGATCAATGAAACATTGAACTATATTGCCTCACAAATGCTAAAAGACAAAACTTTTTACTATAGAAAGACAAGACAAAACTTTTTACTATAGAAAGTAAGATTTCTACCAAGTTTTAAATTAATAGGTTTTCATTTTCATTTAATTTTTAATACCAAAATATACTTAGAATAAATTTCACAAGAATATTTGGTCTAGTTATTTTTGGCCTGCAGTTCGATAACTTACACTAACATACAATGGCCACTCTGTTTTCTTTGCTCTAACGTTTCTTTGTGCACTATTCCTTTAATAAGGAGCTCATGTTTTAACTTTACTTAGATGAAAAAAGTGTTACTTTTCACAAGGGTTTAATATCTGTTCATAGATTAGTAATTCAGACTTGCATAAAAATATGTTGCTTAGCAATATAGTTGTGAACTAGGGTTTTTTTTTTTGAAAATCTGGTTCTGGCGAATGAGAATGATGAATGAGATGCCTGAGAAAAGCTCTTCTCAGATATGCCTTACTAAACAAAGGAGAGGTTAATGACTCCAGAAGATGACTTTTAAAAGGGGATGTCAACAGTGACAGTGACATTGGAATAAAGGATCAGAATTGAAGTGTGTGCCTGGGTTACCTTACCATCTTACTCTTGAACTTATTTAAAATCTGTAACTTTATATCTAGGGCTTCATTTATTAGTGTTTTAGTAGAGTAGCTTTTATGAAAACTGCAAATTGAAACAAGTCAGAAATATATGTTAGGCACCCTATTTTTCAGAAAATGCTTTAAACTTTTTAATATACACTCAAGATACACGATGGGCTGGTAAATTAATAAGACACTTTAAAGAAGTCATATATGAAAATCAGTCTGTTATTAGCCACAACTCATATTTTTGAAAACTTGATGATAAATGTAAGCTTCATTTTAGAAGTCGCATGACACATTTTATAGTTTTATATTAAAACAAAAAATTTCAGCCATAGAAATGATAGTTGAAAATTAACATTTCCAAGACAATACTTTCCGAAGAGCTTTTTCTCATTAATTATCTCAGAAAAACTGCATAATGATGTGATTATTAAAGGTTAATTAAGCAAATACTTGTGAAGTAATTGGGAGATAATCTTTTTTTAATTTAACAGGTCAATCAGGAGGATATTTAGGAAGTATTTTTTGTAGTTAACAACTCTAGCCAAAACAAAAGGTATTTAAATGGTTTCCCTAATGGAAAACAATAAGCGTGTTTGCTCTTTTAAATCAACTGTTGCAAAGAACTGGGACTAGTGTCCCTCATTTCACTATGTTGATGATGATTTAAGAGGTTTTTATGAGGTTTCTGAGCTCTTCCCTTCCAATGTTAATCTACGCCTTATATTGTTTATTTTGGCACTTTACTATAAAATATTCGAAGAAAGTAACTAGAGAAGGCACAAGGGGATGTGTTAAGAAATAGCTATTTTTTTGCGCGAAGCAATGCATCGGGTTGATTATTCAGAAGCGTGAACACAAATTCAACTCATATCAACAACCAGACGTGATTCTCCAAGTATATAACCAAAGAAATTTTCTTTTAAAATATTTCCACGGATGTAGATCATAACAGAATCAGTATTCTCATCAGCGGTGGAACTACAAACTGCTTCCAGCTAACTCTAGGGAGCTGAGATGCCGCCTCACGATCACCAAAGTGTCTTAAAAATCACAGCCTGATTGCTCCAGGTTTACTGGCGAAAGACAGGATTGATACCTAGGTACACAAGCGCTAAGTACTCCTCCAGGGTACAGGAAAAATACCGCAGTTCTGTCCCCAAATCAGCCCTCGGGGGTGGCGGTGGTGGTAACGGGGCTAGATCCGGGCCCGGATGGCTCCACAGGAGCGGGCGCGGGGCACCTTTGTCCGCACCCGGGTCCCTGGCCCCCGGCCGGCCCAGAGCGCTAGGTCAGCGGGGCGCAGGGCCCCTCCCGCTGGAGCCGAGCCAGGGCGGCGGGAACCTGGCGGGCTCGCTATTGTTTTTGGCGAGCACATAAATCCCCGAGTCGACCCCTAGTGCACCCAGGTTTCCTCCCGGAGGCCATTGGGTTTCCTCTGCGGCCCTATATAGAGGCCCGGGACCCGGGCTGAGCAAAGGTGCGCGCCCGCCGCGGCCTCCGAGAACAGCCCGGTTTTCCCAGCGCCTGTCGCGCCAGAGGTCTCCGCACCCTGAGGCTACTCGCGAGGTGGCTGGGAGGACACACCCCACCGGCGAGGAGCAAGAGGCGGGGAGAGAGAGAGGAGGCGGAGGAAAGGGGGGAGGGGAGACCGCTTCTCCAGGGTTTCCCTGACGCCAGCAGCAGCGCCCTGCGAGCGCGCCCCGCGCCCGTCTTCGACTTCGCGGAGGAGGGGGAGGGGAGCGGTCCCTTCGCCTGCCCTCGCCCCGGCCCGCGAGGCGGCCGCCGGGATTGGAGCGGGGAGGGCCGCACGCCGCGCCAGAGGCAGCGGGATTGAGAGAACGCGCGTGCGCGTGCGCGGCAGGGGAAAGGGTGGGGGAGCGCACCCGGGCCCCGTCCCCGCCCCCGCCGCCCGCTGTCTCCGCCCCCTCCCGGTGGTGTGTGGAGCCGGAGTCAGCGGCGGGTGGCGGCGCCTGGAACCTGGAGCCCGAGCCGCCGCCCCCTTGCTACCCCCTTCCCGCCGCCCGGGCATGGACTGACGAACGCCCCCTCTCTGCTCTACTCCCTCCCCGCCCCCCTGCAGGAAGGAGGCGCCCCCAAGTCTCCCCTTCTGCCTGAGGGGCCGTGCGGGCCGCCGGGTCAGGCCGTGCTGGTCCGGAGTCGAGCCTGCGGTGGGGGACCGGCTGAGGCTCGCGAGGGTAGAGGCGAGCGCTGCCGGCGCTGTCGCCGCCGCCGCCGCCGTCGCCGTCCGCTGCCTCGCGGGGCCGAGATGGCGGCGGAGCGGGGGGCCCGGCGGCGCCTGAGCGCCTCCTGCTTCTGGCTGAGCTGCCTTCTGCTGCTGCTCGCACGCCTGGCTCCCGGCGCCGGGGCCGCCAGGAGCGGGGCCCCGCTGCCGTCCGCAGGTGAGCTGGGCGGGCGCGGCTGCGCGGTTTTTGTTCGGGATCCGGGAGGAAACGTGCGGGAACTTCTCCACCTCGGCTCGCGGGGCTGGGAAGAAGGGGGTCTCGCGTGGGGAAGGTGGGCGGGAGGGGGCAGGAGGCACTACGAAGCGGGGTCGGGGCCCTAGGGTCTTGCTCTACGCTTTGTACCCGGAGGCAGGTTCACCCCTCGCCTGCTCCCCTCCCCCAGGCTCATCCCACTTGTAAGAGTGGGACATTCTTGTGCTCACACTAGCACCAGTAGAGGCCACTACACACCTCATTAAATAAACAATCGTACGGCCAATTCATTAATTTTCAGGAACAGGAGGGGGAGGGAGCTCGAACTCCTCTTTGCCTGGCCTGGGATTTCCCAGGTTCTGCAGCCCCAGGAAACCCCTGCAGGTCCCGGGAGACTGCGCTGAGATCGGAACCCGAGTGTGCGGCCTTCCCAGAGGGTATTGCGGACACACTTGTCTCCTTTAAGACCAGTGGTGTTCACTTAACCACGGGACAACTTGGAGAGCGGCTCCAAGTAATCATTGGATTATAGCCGGTCTTTCATTGTTTCTGTTATGAAATGCTGCTTTTTTGAGATTTGCAACTATATTTACAATCTATTAATCACTCTTAGGGAATTATCCCAGCATTGGATGTTAAGTACTGGTATATTGTTTTCAAGTGCTAACATATAAATATGTTAAACTTCGAAAGTCGTTTTCAGTTTCTTGCATATCATGGATCACTGGAATCACTTGCATTCTTGTTTCCAGGGGGCCAGGTCTTGAGTGTTGTTGAGGAGCAGAACATACTCAGCAGTTCAAGGACAGATTAACATGTAATCTGTTCAAATTGTTTGATCAAGGTGGTATATTATAAAACTTGACAAAAGTTTAACTTACTTTGGTGAGATACGAAGTTTTTACATTTGAAAGATATCTGATAGGGCACAGTAGTAACTTGTAATTGCTCAACCAGCACGTTTTACTTTGACCTATATGGAATATTTAAAAATCATATTGAAGTGTGACTTGGCTGATTTTCTTGAAGTGTGTTGTGTGTATCATGACTTACTAGTGTTAAGGAATAGCTTTAACCCTAAAGTCCCAATGAGTATTCATTATTAGTCTAAACAAGTACATAATAAAGTATTAAGGTCAAGTTGGAATCACTGATTCGTGATGTTTACTTGCACATTTAGCCTGTACAAGATTTAGCATACACCCTTCAGTCCTGAAATGTAGGTAACTGATCCAACTTCCTTTTCGTGGGAATGGACAAGAAAAGTGTAACAGTCTTAGAAAACAAGTTCTTCTTACTCTTTTTAGTTTTACATGTAAGTGTAGGAAATATGTGTGTTTCAGGTAATAGATGGAGTTTCTACTTAAAGTTTTGTTATTTTTTGAGTGCTAGTAATTTTATTACTTAGGTTAACAGTAATGAGAGCAGTGTCTTAGAAAGTGATCTTAACATGTTTCAGCATTAACTTAATCTGGGTTTTTATTTTGCACTGATGAGGCACAAGTCTGTATGCTTTCTGCCTTGAGGGAGTTTGCAATCTAGGATTTAGGTAGGAAAGATATTGATTCATCTACTAATTTTGACATTAAGTTATTGTGATAAGCACTACAAAGGAGAATAGGTTTTGAGAAAGTATGTGGGAGAATTAACCTAGTTCGCATCAGGGTGGCTCCGAAGTGAGGTCTAGGGGGTGATATAGAGCCAGCTACTTAGTGTACTTGGGTGAAGAACACAGATCCTGTCGTTCTCTGTCCAAAGTGTGTTCAGTTAACCTCCTGTCTCATTACAGAAGTGAAAGGAGTAGGCAGGGCTTGCCCAGTTGGGTCATGCTTTGTGGAAGAGGTCTAGGGAATGGAAAACTGAGGAAGGAAGAGCTGTAACACGCTCTCAGTACATCAGATGGTGTTTGTCAAATTTAATTTTTGTAGAGTAGTAGACTCAAATCTTTTTGTAGAGTGGTAGAGCAGTAAAAGGTGGAGAAAAACAGGTATGAGCACAGGATAAACATAGTTTTTTCATTTTAGGGTTGATGTATGGACATACGGAGGAGGAGGACAGTGAAGGACTGATGATAGCATAGCAAACAGTCAGCACTGAGGAAGGGTTTGAAATGAGTAGGCACACAATCTGGTTTTAGGAAGGAGGAAAAGATTAGTGAAGAGATTGTTGGGAGATGGCTTGCCAAAGTATCCATGCATTGCATGTCTCCTCAATTCAAAACCTTCAGCTTCTGCCTGAGGCCATTTACCTGATGACATGATTCCTTTCCTCACTCGGTAATCCATTTCTGTTTTGAAGAACTTCTAGAAGATTTTGCTTTATGAAGTACAGTTCTTGAATATTTTTTTCTCTTCTTTTGATCAGCATCAAACTATCTGATTCATTGCTTACTTTTAAGGGTTCATTTGTCTTTTCACTTTTTTCTCTCACCTACTCATTGAGTGTTGTTATCTATGTTTATCTCATTCTTTATATTCTTTCCTTGTCTTCAGTTGCTACCTGTAAGGTAATGACTATCCACTCTCTCCACATGCCCAATTGGTCTTTTCACCGAATAGACTTTGGTGCTCCTGCCTCTAACTTTCTTTATCCCTTTTCCCCAACAACAACCAATTCCCCTATTAGGGCTCTCAAGTTGTTGGGGTGATCCTATGAATTTGTCTTGTGTCACCTGTTGTTTGGCCATCAGTGTTTATCTGCTTGCCCGATTTAAGATCTAAAAGGCCTTCTGTTTCTCTCATTTCAGTAGTCAGTAGTTCTGTTTGGTTTTTATCTACTTGGTATTTTGTGAATCTATATTTCTTCCTCTTCATCCCCAACTGGACTAGCAATAGTGTCTCCATCAATCTCTTTGACTTCACTATTACCGTCAGGAAGGGTAACGGTCCTGTCCTCTTGCTGGAATAAGCTTTTTGACATATTTCCCTAAGCATGCCTCTGCCCCTCTTAACATCTCTTATTAGTGCTCCTCAGGTTGGGTATTAGAGTCCAAACCTTTGTGTTCTTTACCACCACTTCTCTAATCCCAATTTAAAGTCTCCTCTTTTGTCACCCTTAGTATGTACCTTGTGTTACACCAGGCTAACTCACTTTCTTGTCTCTATGTCCTTGCACGTGCTGTTCTTCTGGTTAAAATCAGTTCCCACCACACCTCATCCACTTCTGAAACTCCTTGTTCCACCAGTGACTTTGCTCTACCAACTTCTCTTCACAAAGAGTCTCCATAGTCCTTGTTCTCTGTTTCTGTCCCTTTTGGGATACTTTTTGTGTTACTTACTTTATCTTTGCGAGTCACCACTTCATGAAGATTAACACTGTCTTACTTGTCTTTTATATGTCTAGTGAAGCTGAATGTCTTGCACAAAGTGGATGACAGTAAATGTCTATTGAATGAGCGTTGAGTTGCCTTAGTTTTTAACTCCCAGGACCATCCTGCAAACATCTTGATGGCCTTTCACCTGTCTAATGGAATTTGTATATATGCATGCAAGTGCTTCTTGTGTGTGTGTGTGTGTGTGTGTGTGTGTGTGTGTGTGTGTGTCCCAGTTACCCTTAATTCCTTTAGTCATTTTCTGTAGTGTTCTGATTCTTTGTGAACTTGGTCATCCTCTTGGTTTTGCTGCCATTTTAGTGTTTGTTGGTTGTGTCATCTTTGGAAAGATTATTGATCTTGCTGAGTTGTCTGTAAAAAAGGATCCATGCCCTGATGTGCCTGTCAGAGGTGCAAAAGAAGTCATAGATTTCTGGCAAGAATGTTTTAAGCAGATAAGAAATGTGACTGCTGTTAGTAATATGTTTGAACATAAATAAGTGATGTTAAATAAATTGTGATATGGGAGAATGGATAAAGGATTTGTATATGGAGTCATGGGAATATAACTCTTGGTTCTACAGTTTCATATATCTTTAGGTTGGGGGCTCTAGGCAGGAAAGAATAATTCCTTATTTAATGGGATTGTCAGAATAAAATTGCTTATAAACTATAAATTATTGTATTGTGGTAAAATACTTGTAATGTTTCCTTATGAACTTTTAAAAATATACTATAATTGTATTAAAATATAGAAACTTTTCTGTTGATCCGTGTTGGTTTCTGCCTTCTGAGTTTTCTCTACATCAAGAAAAATATTGAGGTAACAGTAATCTTATTTTATGGTGTTTCTATCTAGTAGTCTTTTTTCCCCCAAATATTTTATTTCATAAGAGACTTCCAGGTGATTGGATGATGTTTGCCATTTCATTGTTTTGGCAACTGAGTAGTATTGTATCTGTAACGGAACAAACAAAGGAAACACCTATAGGCAAGATTCTATTGACCAGAGAGCTTAGTTAGTTAGATGAGGTCATGTCTTATGCTTAAGCTTTTAAAAAAAGTGTGAGGCAACGCAATCAAGTGAAAGAGGTTTTAAAAATACAGACCAAATTTTGTATTCATTTACAATGAAAGGGTTTTTTTTTAAATTCAAAACTTTTGGATATAAAAGACCAAAGAGGTTATTCAGATCCATTGCCATAATTTTGTTCTATTTCTAATTACTCTCTATATGGCTTGTCCTTTTTACACTGTAATTAGGAATATGTGCATACAACTTTTGATGTTTTTACTTAAATTTATAACATTTTACTTTATTGTCATATTTGAATCATTTATTAAAAAATTTAAAAGCACAAGTTCATTTTAAACAGTTTATAATACATTTATCACTTCTATCAGCAAATTCATTTTTAAGCCATGAATAACCATTTCTAATACTTTTCCCTGTTGTATTTGCATGTGTGCCCCTCTCTTTTTTTAAGCAAAAGCATGATTATACTATTGCTTTCAAATTGCATTTTTCACCTAACGGTGTTTTAGAGATCTTTGTAACCCAGTATATACAGATTATTTAAAATGTGTGTATCATATTCTAGGGAATGTAATATTAATAATCTCCTCTATTTATAGAACACATAGAGTTGCAGGC